AGCGTGGAGGTAACTGCATCCTTCAAGGCCGGGAACAAAGTGGACTCCTTGTCGCCCCAAGACCATGGTACGTCCTTCTTGGTGAGGTCGAAGAGCGGGCGTGCGATATGTGAGAAGTCCCAAATAAACCTCTGATAGAAGTTAGTGAACCCGAGGAACTGCTGCACCTCCTTCTTATTAGAGGGGGCCGGCCATTCAGCTATGCCTGCCACCTTGACGGGGTCCATCTCGACGTGGTTGTGGGAGATGATCACGCCAAGGTAATTGATGGACTCCATCTCGAATTTGCACTTCTCAGCTCGGAGGTACAGCTTGTTTTTGCGGAGGCGCCGGAGGACTTCGTTCATGATACGACGATGGAGGTGGAGGTCAGAGTGCAAAATGAGGATGTCGTCCAGGTACACCATGATGTCACCAGAGAGGATGAGGTCCTGGAGGATGTCATTCATCATAGTCTGGAACGTTGCAGGGGAATTGGTGAGGCCGAAATACATCACCAGTGGCTCGAAGAGCCCACAGTTGGTCTGAAACGCAGCCTTCCACTTGTCTCCTTCTTGTATCTGTACGTTGTTGAAGCCCCATCGAACGTCAAGTTTGGTGAAGAAGCAGGCTCCCTTGAGCTTGTTGATGAGGTTGTTGATCAAGGGAAGGGGGTACCGATTCTTCACTGTCATTGCATTCAGTGCCCGGTAATCCTGGACAAACCGTAGACTGCCGTCCTTCTTCTTGACAAGGAAGACGGGGGAGGCCATGGGGGACTTTGAGGGTTGGATCCGGCCGGTGGCCGTGCCTTCTTCAATGAAAGCGTCGAGCTGCTTCTGCTCCAAGGGGGAGATAGGGTAGACCTTGCAGTTTGTTGGCTTTGTGTCGGGCACCAGTTCAATGGCGTGGTCCCAGGGGCAACGTTCCGGAAGCTTGTCAAAGGATTCCTTGCTGAAGACATCCTTGAACTCGCGCGCCCACTCGGGTATGGAATCACGAGGGGGGGCAGAGTTCTTGGCAAAGGCCTCCGCGAGACGCTGGGAGATGGTGCTAGTGGCTCGGATGTCTTCAGAAGGGTTGAAACAGGTGTAGAAGATACGGTCACCGGTTTCCAGACAATCTCCTTCTTCATTGGAATCTTCTCCATTGTCTTCCTGGAGCAGCGGCATAGCCTCGTCTTTGCGGTCTTCCATATCAATGACACAGATGGAGGGGGCAGGGCCTTGTCGAGCTGATCGGAGTGCTTGGGCCGAAATCCGGGCTATCTGTCTCTCTTGGCGAGACTCCTCAGTGAAGATAGAGCAGCCAGACGGGCAGCAGCTCATCTTTACCTCCTGGGTGTCCCAATTGATTTCCGGGTTGTGCTTCCGAAGCCAGGAATACTGTAGCCCCGCGTAGGGGAGAAACGAAAATCTCAGCATTACGGAAACGTAACACTGGAAACGCAGAAACGGCCATGATGTTACGCGTTACACCGGAAACGGACTCAGAAACATGGGATGATTTGACGTGCAGCAATTATTACATGTGCAGTAACTAGCACCCGCTTGTTCACATCCTTACGCATACGAAAATGTCCTTGAAAAACAAAAAACCACCTGGGCCCCCCCAGGAGATGATAGAACACATTGAATACCTTGGAGACCTCATCAACAACCTTCCCGAGTCCCTCCCCGACAATCCACCCGAGTCTTTGCTCCAGTTCTACGTCAATGAAGACATCGTCGAAGAGGCAGGGACAGTCTTTCCTGCAGTCAGCCGAGCTCTTGAGATCTCCTTCGAGACATGGAAGATGAAGGACGCACCGATCAGGTTCAAGGAACGAGGGGACCGAATGAAGGCGCTTGTGCCATTTCTGAAGGGTGTACTAAAGAGGATGTTGGCAAGCGAGCGGGTTGTCTTTCTGGATACCTGGGTGGACCGGCTTGTAAAGGGAGCGAAGGACAGTGGGGCAACAGGGACCAGGAGGAAGGAGAAGCGAGCAAGCGATGATGCAGAGCAGGTTGAACCACTGCCCAAACGAAGGAAGAATGCAGCAATGATAGTCCTGTCGGACTCGGAAGACGACACACCTCAGGTTGTCCCCCGTGTCACTCAACACATTGATACCACCGTCGTCATTCCCTCCACCTCCAATGTCAGCACTAAGGACAACAAGCAAGCAACCCTGGCCACTATGGGTTGGCAAACATGGGCTGACGGCGCAAAAGCTTCGCATCTATCTGCCACACACCAATTGCACGCACGCAAGCACAAGGACCATGCCTCTGAAAAGGCGCTCGAGGCTGAGGCAAAGCTGGCGCGAAAGCAGGAGATGGGAGCTGAGAGGCAGAAGCGATTTTGGGAGAGGAAGAAGCTGGAGAAGGACGACTCGGATGTTGAAATGCTGCCAGATGCAAAGAACGCACATGTGGTGCTGCGGAACGGTGCTCGAGCAGCTGCGCTTGATGACGGCGTCATTGATGTCGCCGGTGTCTCACGTGCTGGTACACAAGGCTGGCGTGAACGCCGTGATGGTTTGAGGGGTGGAGTGGTCCAAGGGCCGGCTGTTATTCCAAATTACTTCCAGCCGTTTCTCTGGAACTTGCTCCACAAGACTGCAGTGCAAGAAGACTGGAGCCCAACGCGCATTGTCAAAAGGCTGCAAAGAGACCATCCTGCTCTCTTCAAGACACTCTCGAAGGGAACCATTAGCAGGTGGAAGGAAAAGGGAAAGAATGAGTGGTCGGTGGACACAAAGAAGAAGATCTCAACTGGCGGTGTTGTTACCAGAACTGGCCGGACCGGGATTCTTGCGCCGTTCCCCAACATCACCCTCTGTGTGAAGAACTTTCTGATTGGGATCCGGCAGTCTGGTGGCATTGTTAATGTCTCGATAACTCGCGGTCTCCTCCTGTCTGAGGTTGAACAACAAGCTCCTCAGCTTCTTCTCAAATTCAAAGTCTCTGAGACCTATGTTCGCACATTCCTAGCGAGTGTGATGGAATGGACGTCGAGAGCTCCAACTCGTGCAGCCTGTCACATCCCAAATGATGCTCCGAAACTTGTTGATCGCACTTTCTTTCGAATTCGATACGCAATATTGACCGGTCGCATCCCCCCATCCGTGAGTCGTTTCAATCACATAATGATATGATGTTTTACAAGTCTCGACAGCTTGTAATCAATGCAGATCAAGCGGGAAACTACGTTCTCCCTGCGGGTTCACACACTTTCCACGACAAAGGAGCCAAGCAAATCAATGTTGTGGCCAAAGACGAGAAGCACGCCTACACAATGATGATCACTTCATCAGCTGCAGGCGATTTCCTCCCCATCCAGGCCATCTGGGCCGGGAAGACAGCTGGATCACTGCCGAGCAACAACGCTCCCAACATGGCGGAGGCACTCGATCGCGGATTTGTATTCTCGTCGGCAAAGAGCGCCAAGACAACCAGTCATTTTTCCACCTTTTCCACAATGAAGGAATGGGTCAAAGGTGTCATCGCACCTCATCGGCTCAAGATCATCGAAAGGGACTCGCTCGATGATGATCAATCCATGGTCGTCTTCATTGATATCTACCCTGTCCACATCGGAACTGAGTTTCGCACTCATGTTTTCGATGAATATCCCTTCATCATCCTGATCTTCGTGCCCGGAGGTTGCACCCCCATCTTCCAGCCTGCTGATGTTGGACTTCAGCACATTGCCAAGCACATTCTCAAACAAGACTCGCTCGACTTCCTCGTTGACACCTTCAAGAAAGAATTTTCGAATGGAGTGCCACCCACTGATATCAAGTATCCGACATCGCTTCCAGTTCTTTGCGATGCCACGGTTCGAGGGCTTGTGAAGATGTACGACTTCTTCCAGACTGAGGAGGGCCATCGCGTTGTGAAAGAGGTGTGTCTCGGTCTTGCAATCTCTGATCGGAATATGAACAATTCCAGGCTTGGTGGAAATGTGCTGTGCCCAACAAGCCCTGGAACCTTTTGGCAGAATGCTTGACCGGGAAAGAATCCGAAAAGGCTTTGCGCGAGTTTCTGCGCACTGACACATCCCTCGCAATGGAAATCGCCAACCGCTGCGGTGCCACTCATCTTGGCGCTGTCATGTCTGGTGCAGATGTTGCAGAGGATGTTGCCGACTTCAACGCGAATGACGATTCTGATGTGCCTCTGTCTGCTGTTATCAAGGACGCACTCTCAATTACAGTGGCATCCGAGGCCGCGGGCCATTCGCTGCCAGCTTCCGAGCAAGTTGCACCAAGAACCGCGAATGATTCGACAGCCGGACTGGTCACAAATGACCAAAGTGAAGACATTTGGCCTTATACAGTCAATGGCCGCATTTGGAGCTCTGTCGCTGAGCCAGAGGATGCAGAAATGGCTGCTCAGTAAAATACAACATGCTAGATCACATTTTGGGCTATTTCAGACATAGTTGAATGTAACGCTTTTTTTTGGGAAACAGTGGCCGTGTTATGCGTTACACTGGAAACAGAATGAGTAGTGCGTTATGGGTTACGTTTCTCCCCTACGCGGGGCTACAGTAGCCGAGGATCAGCTTCTGTTTGCCAAGCTGAGTGACAGCAAGCTGGACTCGCTCGCTGTGTCCTTGGTAACGCAGGACCACATCGGCAACTTGTCAAATGGAGCCAGCTTTGTTTGGCGTGCCGTCCACATTGTAGACTGGGATAGGCTGGGAGAACTGCCGGACCGGAAGTCGGTTTTCAGAGGTGTAGGTGGAGTCGATGAAGTCCGAGGTGGCGCCGCAGTTGACCAGTCCGCTAAGAGAGAGCTGGACCGCATTGTCAGTGGACTGGATCTCCAAGGGGAGGTGCAGGGAGTTGGCGCCAGGGGAGGCCGCGACTACATAGCGCTGGGGGAGTTTTCGTTCCCACTTTTCCTTGCGGACCAGTGGAGTCGAGCAGGGGGCAGGGGGTACATCTATCGTTTCGTTTGTGGGGGAAATGAGATTGCATTCATCATACAGACATTCAAAACGATTACGTGAGGCGATCGAGGGCGTACTATTCACTCGTTGCGGGGGAGAAAACCCTGCTCCAACTCGTCGGCAATCATCGCTTCATGCTCTTCTACAGCTGCCGTAGTCGCTAGCCGGGCCACTAACTCCACCAACAGGTCGCTTCCCAGCTGATTGATCACTTCGTCCAGGACGTCGGCATGCCGGACATCGGTGGGAGTTGGGCAGTCCCGGGCCAGGTGTCCTGGGCTGCCGCATCGGAAGCAGGTGTAACAAACACTGCTGCGGGCTCTGGTTCGGTCGATCTCCATGGGAATGCCCGGTGGGAGGACTACTGGGGCTGGTCAGGGAGCAGGAGGCGTGTCAGGGGAACCCCTGCTTTCGTGCGATCATCATGGGATCTCGCATGTGACCGCGCACGTGCCATCTGTCAAGCGTCACATGCTTCGGTCCGGACTTCCCTGCCAAGCGCGTCCACATAACACTCCGGCCCGCACCCCCATTGTTCCGACGGTCCGGCTCCCATTGTTCCCCCCGATCCGGCCCCTCATTGTTCCCTGGCCCCATTGTCTGGCGCTTCCATTGTGCTTGGTCATCCATTGTTCTGTAGGCTATATATAGTGGGCCCTGACAAGGAGAGTCCCCAACTCGGTTTCTCTTTGGACTCTCCCTTGTCAGGTTTGCCAGTCTCCTGTACTAGTCGATCCCCTTATCTGACGCTTTGGACTCTCCCTTGTCAGGACTCTGAGATCGGGCCTCGAGGTTGCCCTTACAGCAGAAACCGAGTTCCTAGGGATAACTGGACAAGCTTGTGAAGACCGCCGATAGCGTCATACGCCTCTCACTTCCAATCTTGTCCCCTCCTCCCCCTCTACGATCATCATGTCCTACATGGAAGAAGAAGACCACGGGTCCTCCCCTGAGCAGCGACTTGGTAATCTAGAGGAAGCCATGCAGCGAATAGAGGGACTCCTCAACAACTTCATAATTGAACAACAACAGCCTGCCCCTGCCCCTGTCCCGTCTCCGGCAGCGGGTCCAGGTGTATTGACTGGCCAACAGGCCAGCTCGAGACCCCTCATCTGCCCCAATCCCCCATTTGCGTTTGACGGAGATCGCACCCAGGGCAAGACATTTCTCCATTCCGTCAAGCAGTACTGGCACCTCCTCCCTGAGGCCTTCCATGTGAACGGGGTAGTATCAGAAGAGCGGGTGGTACGTTTCGCCCTCTCCTACATGTCCAAGGACTCGGTGGCCTCCTGGTCAGAACGCATGTCAGAGCGCCTCGTCTTCCCGTTTCCAACCTGGTCCTCCTTTGTGGCCGAGTTCAAGCTCCGGTTTGTCGAGGAGAACGAGCAAGACCACGCCCTGGCACGACTGGAGACCCACGCTTACTACATGGGATCCCGCGACGTGTTCAAATACACGGACGAGTTCGACGACCTTCTTGACTTGGCGGGTTACTCTGACAACTTGGTCAAGGTCACCAAGTACCGGGCGGGTCTGGACCCCAGAATCAATCAGGCGATCACGACCTCCGGTAACCCGCCTAGCCTCACAAACTACTCGGAGTGGCGTACCCGCGCATTCCGCCAGTACAACGCCGAGGTGGCTGCCCGAGCTGCACGAGGACAGGTGTTCTCTCCATCCCGCGCTCCGCCTCCTGCGGCCCCCCGCCCTCGCCCCGTGGCTGCTCCGGTGGTTGCTCCACCTCCTGCTCCCCGACCAGCCCCAGTAGTCCTCCCACCGGGCATTCCCATGGAGATCGACCGAACCAGAGCCCGCACCGGTGTTCGTCGCACCTGCTTCCGATGCGGCAGCCCAGGACACCTGGCCCGAGACTGCCCGACCCCCGTGGATGTCCGGCACGCTGACGTCCTGGACGAAGTGATCAATCAGCTGGGAAGCGACCTGTTGGCGGAATTAGTGGCCCGGCTAGCGACTACAGCGGCTGTAGAAGATCACGAAGCAGAGATTGCCGACGAGTTGGAGCAGGGTTTTCTCCCCCGCGACGAGTGAATAGTACGCCCTCGATCGCCTCACGTAATCGTTTTGAATGTCTGTATGATGAATGCGACCTCATTTCCCCCGCAAACGAAACGATAGACGTACCCCCTGCCCCTCGCTCTGTCCCGCTGGTCCGTAAGGAAAAGTGGGAACGAAAACTCCCTCAGCGCTACGTGGTTGCAGCCTCCCCCGGCGCCAACTCCCTGCACCTCCCCCTAGAGATCCAGTCCACCGACAACGCAGTCCAGCTCGCCCTCAACGGACTGGTCGACTGCGGCGCCACGTCGGACTTCATCGACTCCACCTACGCCTCCGAAAACCGACTTCCAGTCCGGCAGCTCTCCCAGCCCATCCCAGTCTACAACGTGGACGGCACGCCAAATGAAGCCGGCTCCATCCGACAAGTTGCCGATGTGGTCCTGCGTTACCAAGGACACAGCGAGCGTGTCCAGCTCGCCGTCACTCGGCTTGGCAAGCAGAAATTGATCCTCGGCTATTCCTGGCTTCGGAAGCACAACCCGGAGATCAATTGGGACACCCAGGAGGTAAAGATGAGCCGCTGCCCATCGGGCTGCTCCACCTGCACCGAGGAGTCTCGCCAAGAGAGACGGATAGCCCGGATTTCGGCCCGAGCACTCCGATCAACCCGACAAGGCCCTGTCCCCTCCATCTGCGTCGTTGATATTGAAGACCGCGAAGACGAGGCTATGCCACTGCTCCAGGAAGACGACGGAGAAGATTCCGATGAAGAGGAAGACTGTCTGGAAACCGGTGACCGTATCTTCTACACCCGTTTCAACCCTTCTGAAGACATCCGAGCCACTAGCACCGTCTCCCAGCGTCTTGCGGAGGCGTTTGCCAAGAACTCCGCCCCCTCTCGAGATTCCATACCCGAGTGGGCGCGCGAGTTCGAGGATGTTTTCAGCAAGGAATCCTTCGACAATCTTCCGGAACGTCGCCCTTGGGACCACGCCATCGAACTGGTGCCCGATGCAAAGCCAACAAACTGCAAGGTCTACCCTATCTCCCCCTTGGAGCAGAAGCAGCTCGACGCTTTCATCGAAGAAGGCATGGCCACCGGCCGAATCCGACCCTCGAAGTCCCCCATGGCCTCCCCCGTCTTCTTTGTCAAGAAGAAGGATGGCAGCCTACGGTTTGTCCAGGATTACCGGGCACTGAATGCAATGACAGTGAAGAATCGGTACCCCCTCCCCTTGATCAACGACCTGATCAACAAGCTCAAGGGCGCCCGCTTCTTCACCAAACTCGATGTTCGATGGGGCTTCAACAACGTACGGATACGAGAAGGAGACAAGTGGAAGGCTGCGTTTCGGACCAACCGTGGGCTCTTCGAGCCACTGGTGATGTATTTCGGCCTTACCAACTCCCCTGCGACGTTCCAGACCATGATGAATGACATCCTCCAGGACCTCATCCTCTCGGGCGACGTCATGGTGTACCTGGACAACATCCTCATTGCTCACTCCGATCCTCACCTCCATCGTCGTATTGTGAACGAAGTCCTCCGGCGCCTCCGCGAAAACAAGTTGTACCTCCGAGCCGAGAAGTGCGAATTCGAGATGGAGTCCATCGAGTACCTCGGCGTGATCATCTCCCACAACCACGTCGAGATGGACCCCGTCAAAGTGGCAGGCGTGGCCGAATGGCCGGCCCCCTCTAACAAGAAGGAAGTGCAGCAGTTCCTTGGGTTCACTAACTTCTACCGGAGGTTTATCCGGGACTTCTCGCACGTTGCACGCCCGCTCTTTGACCTCACCAAAAAGGACGTACCATGGTCTTGGGGCGACAACGAGTCCACTTCGTTCCAGGCCTTGAAGGATGCAGTTACCTCTACGCCGGTTCTTCTCCTCCCAGACTCCTCCCGTCCTTATCGCCTAGAGGCTGACAGCTCCGATTTTGCCACAGGAGCCGTCATCTCGCAGCAGTCCCCCTCAGACGACAAGTGGCACCCAGTCGCCTTCTTCTCCAAAAGCCTTAACGACGTCCAGCGCAACTACGAGATCCACGACAAAGAGATGCTCGCGATTGTGCGTGCGCTGGAGGAGTGGCGGCACTTCTTGGAGGGCGCCGAGTACCCGGTGGAGATCTGGACCGATCACAAGAACCTGGAGTACTTCCGCAAGGCCCAGAACCTCAATCGCCGGCAAGCCCGATGGTCGCTCTACCTATCCCGCTTCGACTTCACGCTCCACCACCAACCCGGTCGGCTCATGGGACGACCAGACGCACTCTCCCGACGCCCGGACCACGGAGCCCCTTCGGACAACACGGACGTTACCCTGTTGAAACCGGAACTGTTCCATGTGCGAGCACTCGAAGGACTGTCTGTCTCTGGCCCGGAAGCCCCGCTTGTCCGCGACATTCGGGAATCGCTCTCCGGTGACCCTGACCTTGAGGAAGAACTTGCGCTTATAGCGCGACGGCTTCTGAAAGGGATGAAGGGGGCCCGCTCCGCTGTAGCAGCGGAATGGCGCATCCAGGACGGCCTCCTCTACTTCCGTGGGAAGCTAGTGGTCCCGCGTGACAGAGACCTACGGCGACGCATCCTTGAGCAACATCATGACACCCGCGTTGCGGGGCATGCTGGCCGCTTCAAGACGCTGGAGCTGGTCTCCCGGAACTACTGGTGGCCCCAGCTCTCACGACATGTTGGCCGGTACGTGGCCACCTGCGACCTGTGCTGTCGGACCAAGGCCCTCCGACGACTCCCCACCGGAGAGCTTCACCCCACGGAGATCCCCTCGGAACGTTGGGAATCGGTGTCGGTGGACTTCATCGTGGAGCTGCCTGAGGCGCACGGCTACGACGCCATCATGGTGGTCGTTGATATGCTGGGGAAGCGTGCCCACTTCATCGAGTGCCACACTCGCCTCTCGGCCGAAGGGATGGCTCGGTTGTTCTACAAGCATGTCTGGCGACACCACGGATTACCCATCAAATATGTCTCGGACCGTGGCCCTCAGTTTGTGGCAGACTTCACCCAAGAGCTATGGAAGCTGGTTGGCGTCTCCCCTGCCACGTCCACCGCTTACCACCCGCAGACTGATGGCCAGACCGAACGGGTCAACCAGGAGTTGGAGCAGTACCTCCGGATCTTCACCAGCTACAAGCAGGACGACTGGGATGAACTCTTGCCCGCAGCTGAGTTTGCCTACAACAACCACGTCCACTCCTCGACCCAGCAGGTTCCCTTCATGACGGACACAGGACGTTTACCACGCATGGGATTTGAGCCAACAGAGCAGCGCTCCACCCGAGCAGAGTCCGCCAATGAGTTTCTGGACCGGGTCGCATCAGGTGTAACCGAGGCTAAATCGGCACTTGTCAAAGCAAAGGACGAGTACAAGAGGTGCTATGACCGACAAAGGACTACCGCTCCCGACATCAAGGTTGGCAGCCGAGTCTGGCTCGAAGCCTCAGACATCACGACGACGCGACCCTCTCGCGGCCTCTCCCACCGACGCCTGGGCCCCTTCAAAGTCACCCAAGTCGTAGGCCGGGGCGCATACAAGCTCGCCCTCCCCACCAGCCTCTCTCGCCTCCACCCAGTCTTCCCTGTGGTCAAGCTCCAGTTGGCCGAAGACGACCCGTTCCCCACTCGCCCGCGTCATGAGGAACCACCCCCTGTCCTGGGACAAGGCGAAGGAGAGGAGTGGGAAGTGGAGGAGATCCTAGACGCAAAGATGCGCTACCGGAGTGTCTGGTTCCAAGTACGATGGAAAGGCTATGACCCGTCTCACGACCAGTGGGTCAAGCACTCCGATGTTTTAGCTGACGACGCAGTGGCAGCGTTCTACCGCAGATACCCGGGAAAGCCACGCGTCATTGCAGCAGCTGTATTCGACTCGCTACCCTTCAGGGACTCATGGACCCCTAACCGTGCCTTGCTTCCAGGCGCCGCAATCAAGAGGGGGGTGATGTCAGGGGAACCCCTGCTTTTGTCCAATCATCATGGGATCTTGCATGTGACCGCGCACGTGCCATCTGTCAGGTGTCATATGCTTTGGTCCGGACTTCCCTGCCAAGCACGTCCACATGACACTCCGGCCTGGACCCCCATTGTTCTGACGGTCCGGCTCCCATTGTTCTCCCCGATCTGGCCCCTCATTGTTCCCTGGCCCCATTGTCTGGCGCTTCCATTGTGCTTGGTCATCCATTGTTCTGTAGGCTATATATAGTGGGCCCTGACAAGGAGAGTCCCCAACTCGGTTTCTCTTTGGACTCTCCCTTGTCAGGTTTGCCAGTCTCCTGTACTAGTCGATCCCCTTATCTGACGCTTTGGACTCTCCCTTGTCAGGACTCTGAGATCGGGCCTCGAGGTTGCCCTTACAAGGCGGGGCAACCACCGGAGGAGCCATGTGGCAAGGGCGTGGAGCCGCAGGAGGCGGGGCGCGGGGTGGAGAGAACACCTGTCCTTGTGCAGCCTGGGCAGCCACCTCTGCGTTGTACTGGCGGAATGCGTGGGTGCGCCACTCTGAATAGTTTGTGAGTCTGGGTGGGTTGCCAGAGGTTGTGATTGCCTGGTTGATTCTGGGGTCCAGACCTGCCCGGTACTTGGTGACCTTGACCAGGTTGTCGGAGTACCCCGCCAAGTCGAGGAGGTTGTCGAACTCGTCCGTGTATTTAAACACGTCGCGGGATCCCATGTAGTAAGCATGGGTTTCCAGTCGTGCCAGGGCATGGTCCTGCTCATTCTCCTCAACAAACCGGAGCTTGAACTCGGCAACAAAGGAAGACCAGGCTGGGAATGGGAAGACGAGGCGCTCTGACATGCGTTCTGACCAGGAAGCCGCCAAATCCTTGGACATGTAGGAGAGGGCAAAGCGTACCACCCGTTCTTCTGATACTACCCCGTTCACGTGGAAGGCCTCAGGGAGGAGGCACCAGTACTGCTTGACGGAATGGAGAAATGTCTTGCCCTGGGTGCAATCCCTGTCAAACGTGAATGGGGGGTTGGGGCGGATAAGGGGTCTTGTGCTGGCTTGTTGGCCAATAGATACACCTGGACCCACTGCCGGAGGCTGAGCAGGGGCAGGGGCAGGCTGTTGCTGTGTAATTATGAGATTGTGGAGGAGACCTTCCATCCGTTGCATGGCTTCCTCCAGATTTGCAAGCCTCTGTTGGGGGTGGGAGGGGTCATCCTCTTCTTCCATTTGGGACATGATGATCGTAGAGGGGGAGGAGGGGACAAGGTTGGAAGTGAGAAGCAGATGATGCTGTCAGCGGTCTTCACAAGCTTGTCCAGTTATCCCTAAGAACTCGGTTTCTGCTGTAAGGGCAACCTCGAGGCTCGATCTCAGAGTCCTGACAAGGGAGAGTCCAAAGGGTCAGATAAAGGGAATGACTCATACAGGAGACTTGGCAAACCTGACAAGGGAGAGTCCAAAGAGAAACCGAGTTGGGGACTCTCCTTGTCAGGGCCCACTATATATAGCCTACAGAACAATGGATGACCAAGCACAATGGAAGCGCCAGACAATGGGGCCAGGGAACAATGAGGGGCCAGATCGGGGAGAACAATGGGAGCCGGACCGTCAGAACAATGGGGGTCCAGGCCGGAGTGTCATGTGGACGTGCTTGGCAGGGAAGTCCGGACTGAAGCATGTGACGCCTGACAGATGGCACGTGCGCGGTCACATGCAAGATCCCATGATGATTGGACAAAAGCAGGGGTTCCCCTGACACACATTTACGACTCTTTCAGCAATGAATGGGACCTTTGTCAACCTCTGGATTCAGCAGCTGTCCCATCAGATCACAATGACGACAACAATGACGAGGGCTATGATGACATCTTCAGCTCCTACAAGATAACTCCTGCCGCCCATCCCACAGATATCCATGACGACCATGATCTTGTCCAGTCCATGAATGACTTCTAGGACCAGCTTCCTCTAGGGCTGTCCGATGAGGTGCAGATGGCGCTTGCCAACACCAAAGGCCTTCTAGTGCAGGTCGACATATACAATCGCAGTCCAGACAAGGACACACCCTGGAAGTCCACCCCGTAGCTGTGGCCGATAATAATCCCAGCAGGGCCATTCTCGAATACCGCATGGGCTTTATTGGCGACCCAGAACAATCTTTTCTGGAGACGGAAATGGTGCGGCCGCAAGTCAGCGCACACTTTCTTGGTGATGCTAGGTCTTCTATGGCAGTGCCCGCCAGCAACGCAGTCAGGGCACTTTTCCATGCGCTGAACAAGGCCAAGCTTGTCCAGGACCTGCCTTCTGACCTCTTTGATCTCTGTGACATGGAGATATTGGAGGACATCTGGACCAAGACCGGTGTGATTGTGTCTGTTGCTGAGAACTTGAGCAATAAAGCAGATCGTTCCACTGGATATCTACTCCAGACATGTACTTGAGAGGGCATGGTCAATTGCCAAATCCTTCTGTTCAGTGCCACCACGGTCCTGCAGCTCATCCACTGTCAATGTAGCATGTGGCATGAGTTGATGAGCTATCTCTACCATCTCGGGGCTGCGTTCATCATTGGCGTCAAAGCTTCTAGTACCTTGCCATCTTTGTACCAACCAGATCTCCTTTGCTGTGGCAGCCTTGGAGTGCGACTGGAAGGTTACAGCCCTAGCAGGGAGGATCTTGGCAAATACTGGGAACTCCTCTCACGCTTCCTACATTCTCCCCGTGGTTGACTTGCGCTTCAAGCTGGTGGTGTTGTGGGCTGTCTCGCACGTCTGATCATTGATGACCCAGAGCTTGATCTGAGAATGGAAGTTGTGGACCTCGAGATGGCCGAGGAGTGATTGAAGTACAAGGACAGTTCTTTCTACTACCATGCTCTGACCAAGGAGGAAGAGGATCTTGTCCTTGGTGTGTATAGCATCAAAATGAGTAAGTTCATGCTTTTGTGAGAAAAAGGAGATCCTAATAACATTATCCAGACCAGCTGGATTCCAGTGCTCAAAACGGACATCAAGAGAAACGAGTCTCATGGTGGCCCCAAGCTGGGGCCTTCTTTTCTTCTGGCATGAATGTGGGTTGGTGGACGCCAGACTGCAAGCAGTGGTTCCAAGACACACTCCTTGAGATGGAACAAAACCGTGCTGTTCTTCTCAACAACACACTCTGGAAGGAGAGGATTTATGGATACAGTGCTGCCTGGCACCTGTCCAAGAATCTTGACTGTGTCCATGCTGATTTCCTTGCTCACATCAGGTAAATGGGATCTCGTTTGTATATTGTATTCAAGTAGTAATTCAAGTAGTGGCAACAATGTGCATTTACCTACCTATCATCCTCCATGTATATGTATATCTTTCTTGTATCTACTATCAACTACAATCAAGCATGTGTTTATCTTATCTTTGAGGCGATGAGCACCGGACGAGCGGCAGATCATCCGGCAATGGATATTTTTGACACCAATATCTGAGATTTAAGTGTGTCCCTTTTGTTGGCCACAATACCACTAATATTATCATTTCCCATTGTGAACTTTTTTTAGGTCATATTGAGATCGAAAATGTATTGCATCAAATGACAGCTTTTCCACACCCTATTAGTGGCTACGTTATCTGACAAAAGTTGTCCGTAAATAAGTAACCTAAATTTGATTGCAATACATTATTTATCTAGAATTACATTTTGCGCTCTGATAGTTGACAAAACAGGGAATCTATAGAGTGGTATGATAGTTCAAATATTGGTGCACTTATCTAAGACCCTTTTTTCTACTCCGATATTTGTAATAGAAATGATTCTTTATGACTCCTGTTATTTGCCATCCGCCGGAGTGATTATCACCATGCTCGGCTACTGATCGGTCCAACGCGCCCACGTGATGACTACCTACCCTGGGAATGCAGTGTATTGCTCTGATATGTGACATATCAGGTCAAGTAAGTTTTTCAGTGACAATAGAGGAAATAGAATTCAATCTCTATGGGCCATGTTACGTGTGATCCCCCGGTGTGAATAGTACGGTATTAAAAGCAAATCTTATCGAAGCGATGCTCGTCACATGATCTATGTCGCAGACACAACACCTTCAGCCCACTACCACCTGAGGCTTCCAGCCGGTCACCAGCTATCTCTTCAGCCGGAGGTGACAGCTGGCTGCCAGCTTGTCGCCAACTGTCCACGAGATTTTAAGACCTGCGTAAAGCTGGGGCCTCCAGCCAGCCAGCCACTAGGACCTAGGTGAGGGGAGTTTGTCAGTGTACTTAATACACATATGCCATGTGTTTGAGCCACGCGGAGCATTGGGATATTCCAGTCGCCAGGTCTCGTGAACTACTCCGGGGAGAAGTATGAAGCCCGATCCTGACGTGTGCGAACTGCCGACCACCAACACCGTGCGCTTCGTCATCGCGACTGTGGAGCGCCCGACTCGGGTAGCGTCGCATCATCGGGCGGTGTTCCTTCGTGTTGCATCGGTCGACGTGGTGAGCGTCCAAGCGAAAGGCGACGCCGGAGGTGGACGCAACAGAAACAGACCGCGTTTGCAAGATGAGAGAAGAACAGTTGATATATATTGTGTCACGAGAACATTCTATGCTGGAGATAACCCTAGAAGAAATAATACATTTTATGAGGCCGACTGAGCGGCGAGCAACCCTGCGATCCACCCAGCGAGCTTGGAGGCGTTGTCTCCAATCCACGCACCGGCATGCTCCCCCTCGACTCGCTCGACGGACATCCCTGAATATGCCGCCTTCCAGCGCTCGTCGACCTCGTCAGTTGCCGCAGCGACATATAGCGCAGAGGTGGTATGGGGTCCAGACGGTAGCCAGTCAGCCATCGCCTTCACGTTCTTCTCGTACGTCCCGGCCAGCGCACGGATATCGCTGCCATGCCGAGCGGCGAACGCCGCAAGATCGAGGGTCGCCTCCTCGGCAGACAAGGCGGGCCTCGACTCCGCAGAGAACACGTTGCGAACGAACGCATCCGCAGTCAGCAAGACGTCTGCGGAGGTGGATCCTGGGAACGGACTGTCGATGAGGGCCACCGCGCGCACTTGGATTCCGGCTTCTTGCATCGGGCCCAGCATCGCCGTCGCGACCAGACCACCGAACGAGGCGCCCACGAGCACGACATCGCGACAAGTGGGCGGCATGTCCTTCACGTATCTCGTGGCGAGCTCGTTGATCCCACAATCCGAGTCGATGCCGTGGAGCGCAGGGTGATCGAGCGCCATGATCGTTGAATCTGCCGGCAAATGACGCGCCAGCGCAGCATACGACAGGCAGCTGCCGCCTCCTGGTGCGATGAGAACGTACGTCGTTCCCGTCGGAGCTTGTTGCAGGAACGAGATGTAGGAGGGAAGCGATGCACTGATCGACGCCACAATGGACTCGACCGTGCACGATGGGTCGATGAACGCCGAGAGACTGCAGGGATTCGGTCAATGCCCGAGAGACGAGTTCTAAATGAAGGAAGGCACGCACGGGATGTGGCACCCTGCTTGCTGCAGCTGATGCAGGAGCGCCATCTGGCCGCGACTGTCCAGCCCGGCATCCCTCAATACTGTCGTGGAGCTGATCTCGTCCGTGCCGAGGATAGATCGAACGTGACGGAGCACGAGATGACCAGCCGACGTGGCATCTGGCACACTCGCTTTCGGACTGGGCACCTCGACCGACACGTCGACTGGACCCTTGATGAACGTCGCCTCGACCGACGCCTTTCTTTTGTGCTGGGCGGGGGGGAATGCCAGCACGCAATGAGCGTTGACGCCGCCGAGACCCGTGCTCGATGCACTGAGCAGCGCGTCGGGAGACAACCGCACGGGATTCTTGGCAAACGAGATCTTCAGCGTCGGGTCGATGACCGGGTTCGGCTGCTCGAAGGACTGCAGCGGGGGAACCACGCCATGTTGGATGGACTTGACGAGCTTGATCACAGAGACCAATCCAGATGCAGCCTGAGAAGGGGTTTGAATCTGTCAATACGAGACGGAGATCAGGTCCCGCACCTCGCAGTTGCCCAGATTCCCCTTGTTCGATCCCACAATGTACGGCGTCTTCTCGACCCCGAGTTCTCGTCGGGCCATCTTCAAGCCCTCGAGCTCCAGTGCGTCGCCGATCGGTGTTCCACTGCCGTGCAGTCTGTGCAAAACATTAGCGGAGTTGACATGCGCAACCTGGATATCCAACACCCACTCCGCATAGACCAGCTTCCCTGCGCTGACACCCGCATCC